GGACGGCTCTTCATCTGGATCCACCAAGTCGGCATAGCAAAGAGGACATACCTTAATTTTGCTCGAGTGACGTTTTAGATCCAAAAAGAGATGTTGCGGCACAACTATTAACACGTTAGTAATTGGACATTAGGCGAAGTCCCAAAGCAAAAGAAAGTGAATCCAGAATCCCAATGCGATATGAGAAATTAAGCGCAGCGCATAGAGAGACCCACCTGTCGAACTGCAAGCCACTTCCTAAGGCATGATCCATGGAAAAAGTGCTTGCATGGAGTCACACGTGCTTCCTCCCACATCTCCATGAAACAGATGGCACATACATCACATCGAGCTAAAAAATTGAAGATGTAATCCAGGGAGTGAGTGAAGAATATCAGTAAATATTTTTGACGCAATAATTTGCCTAGAAAGATCTGTAATCCTTTCAGACACTTTACTGATGAGCTTAAATGTAATGTAGGATAACTGGTTATTTATAAAATTACCTTTGAGCTCCTCCTTACTAGCACGCGGTAGACGATTGATATTCTTCACTGCAGCTTGACGTGCGGTCATTGAACCAAGAAGTGTTTCCATTCTGTGATAGTGTGGAGCTACTGAGTCAAATCTGATCAATGAAAACCGCATACCTTCTGTATATGTTAAATATCACATGAAAAACGAGTACAGCAATGGTTGCTAGTGTCCAGTTGCCTAAACCACATACATTTATGTAGATCTCAAACTGTGCTTGTTTTCTTACCCGCAACTGTGAATACGATGCCGTATACAAGCACTATTAGTGCGATAGACAATTCAAATACTTTTGTAATAATTCGGGTCCAAAACATAAGGTCGTCGCTGTGTTCCCAAGGTTCTGTAGCTCGTGACTGCAAAACATGATTTGGTTATTGAAAAAAAAAATGGAAACAAGCATTAACCTCTATCATTCCTATAACATACTGTACAGTTGATGACGCAGCATGAATGGTGGTGAGAACGCAGTTTGATACGATAATAACACACCTCAAATATGATTATGCCGAACAACGCGATAGAATGAGGGTGATAAATGCTAATAAAAAATGTCCAATGTGCTTATTTAAAAAATGGTAAAAAGTTTACCATAAATCCACTGGAAGAAAAGCAGTTATGGCTCCTGCCATGACAACCGGGGCAACGAAGAGGATCAAAGCAAGGGTAAGACACCTTACATGTCGCGCAGTTGAGGCATTAGGCGAAGCAGCTAAGGACAACAGTTGTGGTTCAAGCAGTTCATACAGTGACTGCAGCAGAGCTGACATAACTAAAAGAAAAGCAAGAAATCATCACAAATATGAACTGAACAACAACGTCAGTGATAAAAACAAACCAATAAAAAGAACGAGCCCTAGTAAAAATGCCTTCTGCTCAGTCTTCATTCCAAGTAGACCTGTTTGAAGGCATAGCAGTACCAACGTCAACGCCTCCGTGTATCTAAAAACAATCATTTCTAAAATAATGGATCAAGATTATATATATATATATATATATATATATATACCCAAAAACAATTTTCAAAAAGCGTAAGAAGTAAATTATGCAAACGATTTTCAAAATATGCGTACTGGCAGCGAGTAGCCTACCCAGAGTGAGCAAGAACGTGTCCATGATCGCGACGACCTCCAATCGCCAGTTGAGCTCCATCAACAACCCACTTGCAAACGAATGACACAGTCAGAGCAAGGGCGAGAAGAGATATAGGTGTATTAGTGCTCTCAGCAATGCCTTCGAGAAGAGCTGGTCCAGCTTCGCGCCAAGAACGATTCTGAAACATCGTACGTTTTGTCCTATCATTTCAAAAAAAAAACTTATAGATCAAGA